ATATCAGCATTTGCTATATCTTATACTTCTGCTTGGTGTGTTAGAGTTACTTCTAGTACAACCTATAGTATGGTGGGAGCATTAAATAAGTTGCCCGTTGCTGCAAGTGGAATGATTTTCTTTGGCGATCCAGTTAATTTTGGCAATGTGTCAGCTATCATAGTTGGTAATTATCTTTATATTTAATTCCTTCTCTTACTTCTCGAATAATATCAACCTAAAATTTGTTTTCTATCTAGGTTTTTTCGCTGGCATTGTCTATTCATTTTCAAAATCGGTCGTCCCACGAAAATCGACTAAACCGATGTCTGCCTCAAACAACAGCATACGTGATGCAAATTCTGCCAATCAGACAATTGTCACTATTGATGAAAAAGATTCATCTTAATAGAACTATTAATGGTGCTATAGATTATATATATCTATTTAGATAATATACAACTTGTCTGGGCCTTAATATTTATTATTAACCAATTAATGTAATTTGTATTGAAAGTAACTTTTTGAGCTAGAAAAATTTCTTATAAAATTTAAATTTATTGACGTCAAAGTATTTACTTTTTTTTTTTCAAAACAATAATTCAATAATGGTCTCACTAAATATAAGGTGAAACGTATACCTTTGTTACCTGACGCTCTTCAACCCGAATAGGTACTTGTCATCGGAAATTCCTAATAGTTACAGAATGTAAAGTTAGTACTAATTCGATCTTATTAGGTTATCCGTCTAATGGCTTTGACAAGATAAAGTTTAGAATTTGCAAATCCAGATAAACGTACATGTTTTACATTATCGAACCACACGATGAAATATGTATCGAAGGGGTCTACTTATTTCAGACTTCATTGTACAATAACGCATGTTCGTAATCCCAAAAGGAGGTTTATACAATCAAATAATTTAGACAACATCTAAGGCTTCACTTTTTCTTTCGATAGGTCCAATTAGTGAACGGAAACTTCAAAGCTTTATGACCTTCAAGTTAATTCATTCATTCAAGTCTTCATGGGTCTTCGGACTTCATTCAAGGCTTCATAGTAGTAGTCACCAAGCAAGATTTCATTATGATTTCAGTATTATTACATGTAAAAAAATTTTTTTCTTATTTGTTTGGGTATTTTCAAGGTGTCTGAGCCTAGACCGGATTGAGGTCCTTCTTCTTTTATAATTTTCTTCCTTTCTTTGTTTCTTTATGAACTTGCATGTTTCAATTTCTGAAACGTAGTTAATCATGTTTAAAATTTTGTGAAAAATTATGAGATCGGGTAATCTCACATTAATCTTGAATTTTGATTTATTTCTATACCTACTGCAACGAAAATCAAGAAATAGAAGGGAAAAAACAACAAATAGCAATATGAAACATTTTAGCAAAGAAAAAGCCGAGACTTTCACCTATTCCTAAAAAACGAAGCATTGACATCTTGTGTGGACTCGATAATTCAGAATGCTTCATTTATAAGTAGTGGTTAATCAAGTTTTTCTATTCTTCCCTCTTCGCATGCAGGATCGATTTTCTTTTTTTCGAAGTTCTTGACCTTCGTATTCCTGAGGCACTAAATAAAATGAAAACATTGCAAATGATAATCCACAATAAAAGAACAAAGAATACTTGAAGAGATCAAATCTACTGTGTAGAATCTGTATAGGAATATAGTTAAAATCATTATTGTCGATTCATTCGGTTAAATAAGCTGTATTCTAATAACGCTCAATCTCTAACCAGTTCAACGGGAATAACTTCGAGATTTTCTAGAACGACTATATGATCTTCTCCTATATGAATAACTACGACTGCGCGACCTCCTTCTGTCCTTTGACCAGCTTCGACTCCTGGAGCGTGAAGGTGTTCTTCTTCTATAACGTGGCGGTGGACTAAAAGAAGGAGATCGGCGATATGTGTTGCCGCGATAACGCGAAGGTCTATCTCCCATATATTCTCCCGGGGTAGGCGTATGTGGTCTCTGAGTTAGAGAATAATCTACACGCATATTTCGACCATTAATTTCCTAATATTCCGAGGGAGGCGTAAACATTGAAATGTTGAGTGATCTCAAATTTCAGAAAAAAAATAAAGTAAATAATAATTTTAGATTTCGTACCATTCCGTTTGTTTTCTCTTTAGCCATCGATGCCTCCTCAACTGAATTCATATAGACAAACCCAAACCCACGGGAACGGTCGCTCTAAAAACATGCGAAGAAGTTATTTATAACTATTTACAAAGGTGAGAAAGAAAATATTAGAATAACAAATTACCCGATGATCATAGACAATAGTAACTTGCTTAACCCGTCCGTAACGTTCAAAGATAGTCTGCAAGTCTTTTTCTGTAGTTCTAAGACTTAAATTAAAAACTCCTAATACGTGACTAGGATCGGGTTCCTAAAAAAGTAAATAGGCAATAATAGATCAAAAAAGCGAACAGTAAAAAAGTTGAATTTTTGATCCAAGCAAATAATTACATCTCTACGACTGGTTCTCCTCCTTCCGCGACTTCTATCACGACTTCGAACAGGACTTTTGGATCTGAAAAATTATTGCAATCTCTTAGCTATTAACTAAATGGTTTCAGTCAAGAAAATCAAGAAGATATTACCTCCTCCTTCTGTCTCTGCTTCTAGAAGGACTCCGGCTTGAAGAACTTCGGGAAAAAGAACGACGTCTATGCCGTTTAGAAGTACGTGAACGTCTGGGGCTTCGACTACGTGTTCTACTGCGGGAATAGGAACGAGGACGCGAGCGTGAACGAACACGTTGACGGCCTCGATCACCATTAGAAGGTTGGAGAGAGCCCTGTGGGGGCATGTTTGAAATGTTTGGAAAAGGTGATGTTTCTTTTTTTGACGGTGCAGGAATATCTTGCTTTTTTGTTTTATGGTAAAGAACATGAGTTGTATTATATTAGAATCAAATAAGAAAACAATGACAACTTACAGACACAGAATGTGTGGAAAGCGGTGCCTCAATTTTTTCGACTTTGTTTTGCGCAGTGTTTGATACTTGTGGCTGTCCAGAGTCTTCATATAATAACTCCATCGTTCTTTGACTATAAAGCGGAGTTACATTTTCTAAAATATGTACCAAAAAAAAAGCTTTTGGTAATCAGGATATATTGTTACACAGAATAATTTGGGCACATGATAAAACCATTGCATACTTCTTTTGATATAATATAAAAAAATTATTTTTTTATTTTTAATTTATAAAAAAAAATTTTTTTTAACCTGCAATTAAATTAGCATTATTTTATTTTATTTTATTTTATAGGTAAACATTATCTCTTTATTTGATTTATATAATATTAGATATATATTACAAAAGAAACAATATCTTTTATATGTAATAATATAATAAATTAAATATTAACTTGTTTATACATTAGAAAATTTCTGGAAAATCTTTGAGAATCTTTAAAATTTTTTAAAATTTTTTAATATAGAAATTTTTAAAATAATAAACTTTGGAAATTTTTATTTCAAAAAAATTTATAAATATTCATTACTTTTATTAAATTTTAAAATTATATAAACTAAATTATCTATTTATATTATATACATCTGTTGATTTAATATATGCATATTCATACATGTATAGTGATTTTTTTTATTTAAAATCATACCATTGTACTAATATTAATTGAAGTGAAGATCTTTAAATTATTCTGCTTATTTTTATTATTAATAAAACCTAAAAAAATTATATTGGTTTTAAAATAAATAATATTTATATTTTAAATAATTATAATTACTTTTTCATAACAGATTTCATCTTCTGTCATATAGTTACATAATTTTTCAGAGTTCATTTTAATTAATATATTACTAAATCATAAAGTATATTATAATATTTATTAGATGCTTAAACAATTTCACTATTCTTTATTATAACTAAAAATAGGTTTCTAAATTAAAGACAAAGACATAATTCAAATGTCCCTCATTATTAAAAAAGTTTTTTGCAATTTAGGCCACTTAATTCAAGTGTTTTTTGAATTATGTTCCTATTAAAGTAATGAATAAATAATTATG